CCAACGACAACCAAATCACTAATCAACAACAAATAACTGACCACCACCACTCTACCCATCACCGCCAATCACGGCTACCAAACCCCTCCAACACCACCATCTACTTGGGAAAACCAAACATCAACCATCACCATTACTATTATCAACATCACTATATAACCCTCATAACCATTGGAAAACACCCACAACAATCATCACCGTCCACCACTAAAAGTATGAAGACTAATTCGTTTTGATATATTATAACACATTCCCAAAGGAAGTAGATCAAAGAGAATTATACATTTACAAATATAAATTTAAAAATGTATTTTTCCCTTTTATGTTTTATTTTTAAAAACATTATGTGAACATAATATTGTTTTAATAGTTTTTTCCCTTCTACGGTTTATAATCTTATTAAAATATTTATTTTTTTAGCAAAAAAATATCAAAAATGAGTTTTTTTATGAAATATTATTTATAAGGATTAATCTTAACCAAGTTGTAGTACATATTACAAGGGTTCCGTACATATAAAGAACGCCGAAATCCGAGTTACGAAGAAGTTATGTCTCGTCAAAGTTTTACGGCAAAACCGACACGACACTGGGAGACGTAACTAGTGAACAAAAGAAAACTTTTTAGCCTTAGTGATCTAAACAAAAATTTTAGTATACGTTAAACCGAGAACATTAAAAAAAACCCCCAAATCTGACTTCGTATGAGGAAGTTATGAATTTTCTAAGATTTGACATAGCAGTGCACGACCCGAAACTCGAATTTTAGTTCGAGCGGTTTTTGGCCTACGCGACCTAAATGAGAGTTGAATATCTCATTAACAGGAACTCAACAATAAAATAAACAAAAACGGAGTCCGTATGTAGAAGTTATGAATTTTATGCGGACATTTAACAATATAATCTCCTCCCACTGTTAAATTTAAGATTGGTTGAGAATTAGCCGATGAAGTCTAAATGAAAGTTATAAATCTTGTTTTTACCTACGTGTGGATATAAAGAACGTCGAAAATTGAGCTCGTATGCGTAAGTTAGGGGGTTTAGAAGTCGGCAGGGTACTGCTGCAAAAAGGGGTGACGTGGTTGAATATAGGCCAAGGCTTTCTCCCCAAGGCAAGCCACCAGAAGGTGACATGTGGTTTGGACTCAACGAGTAGGAGGACCTACTTGATGAGTAGAGCTGTTTTCCAGCCTATAAATAGAGGTGTCGGGTTCCCTCATTCTTCACACCATTCCAACTTCTTCTTCTTCTTCTTCTTTCTCTCTCTCTCTCTCTAAACTCTCTCTCTAGCCCCCAAAACCCCCCTAAGCCTAGGTAAACCCCCTAGCACCGAAGGAAGCCCCGAGAAAAGAGCCTTTCGGCTCGGGAACGCTGCTCCGACAAAGTCTGGTTTTCGAGAAAACCCGTTGTTTCGTCAAGGGATAATTGTTTTAAGAGTAGCGAAGTGTTGTCCGAGTGCCGAGTCACTAACTTTTCAAGTGAGTGCAAGGTCCCTTTCATCTTACACATAGATATGAAGTATTTTATATAAAATAC